GAGAGAGTGACTGGCCCAAGATCACCCAGCTGGCTTCATGCCTAAGGCAGGACTAGAACTCATGGTCTCCCAGTTTCTAGCCAGATGCCTTAACCACTGCACCAAACTGGCTCTATACTAGTTATTGCTACAGATTTAATATGAACTAGAGGTCATCCAAACTGGTGACCTCCAGTTCATATCAGAGAAAGAAAGAGGACTCTTTAAATGGCCCTCAGCAGCAACTTGCCCCAGATGAACTGAAAAATCTGCCAGAATTGAATGGGGGTGGGGAGGATTTGGTGTTTGTCCTGAACTGGGGCTAAATTATCCTGGCAGAATGTTCAAATAATGGAATGAAATCACAGGTGGATATTCTGATCCTCTGAATGGGGTTGAGGCAAATAAACACCTTTGGGTTCTTTGGTAGTTGGATTCAGCTAGCAATGTAGTCAAAGAGCAAAGAGTTAGGGTACTTGACACTATACATAATCTAGGAGTAATCCATGCTCATATCTCTAAGACAGATTTAAACATGCTTTTCTTAATCAAAAGATACTATGTTGTACATTATGCGGAATAAACAGACATTTTAAATAAGTTTCTCATACGTTATATTACCTCCTGCCTGTATAGTTCTTGGTTCTAAGAAGAATTAAAGCTGTGTTTATTTTGTAATTCTGTTTCAGGTAATAAAAGCATCATATAATGTACTGGCTGTCTCTGTTAAACAACTTCTGTCTGTTAAAAAATTACTCTGCCATGCCTTATTTTTGTAATTTTAGTGTAAGAAATATAATGATTTTTATTTAAAAGTGGTCACCACTTTAACATTGAGCTATGTAGAGCAATTTACTCCTTTTGTAAACAATTTGTACATTTCCTTGCTTTCACTTGGTAAGGATAATTTTAGTATATAATTCAATTCATAAGATAGATCAGTTGTATGTGAAAAACAATTTACTTCTTGCTTGTTTCTTTTTGGCTTATGTAAACTAAATGAAAATTAGACATCATGTACAATCTGCTATTGAAAAACAGGATAATCAGCTATCCCTAGTTGATTTTCTCTGTTATATTTTAAAATGATGCTGAGTAACAATCAAGAAGAACTTGTGATTTTAATGCTGAACAGATTAAGTACTTAAGAAGGCATTCTGAAATTTATCCAAGATATTGTGGCAAGACATAAGAAAGAAATCTCCAAGTAGATAGCATCCATCTTCAGTGTTGCATTAAAAAAAACCTTGAAGATCAGAATGCTGTACTTATATAAAATACTATTACTGGTGCATCCTTGCTAAGAAACAGATTACAGTATTGACTTGTTCATTGGTTTGAAGCATTTGAGCTTTCCCCAAGGGCAGTTATCGATAAAGCAGATTAAAGAAAAGCATTCATTCGTATGCTTTTCAAATTTTAATGTAAAGGAATAATCAGTAACCAAAAGCAGTCAGGAATTCTAAGGTTAACCATTAAATTTACAAGCTGTCAGATTGAATGGGCAAGTAACCTTGGATCTTGAAACCTAATTGGTTCTGTGGCCTTTGTTAATCCCAATATAACTGCTATACTTTAAGAAGTGCTTTTTAAGAGTAAATGTTTATGTCTTAAGTTTTTTACTAGCCAGTCTCTGCAGTAGAAATCACAGTCTGAAAGAACGAATACCTATCCTGCTTACAAAGCAGAAACTAGTATTCTAAATCACTTTTAGCGGGTTTGCTTTTTTGTCTCTAAGTATAAAAAAAAACATTCTTTCTGGTTTATGAGGTTGTCCAAAAGAAATTCCTGGAGTTGCTGTTGGAAAGCACTAGAGTAGGCTTTTCAACTGATACACCAAATCAATTTTTGTGATTTTTTAAATGATATGTTTGCTGTAAGGAATTACTTCTCTCTTCTTCCAGATAAACCCAAACTGCCTGAAAATTATACAGATGAAACCTGGCAAAAACTGAAAGAAGCTGTGGAAGCTATTCAGAACAGTACTTCAATTAAATACAACTTAGAAGAGCTTTACCAGGTAAGCATTGGTGTATGTACTTTCAGTCCATGAGTAGACCTCTGTGTACTTGAAACCCTTCCAAGAATTTTGCCCCCTTTCTAGGATGTGGCTGAGGTCCCATAATCACTAGGTGAGGTGCAATCTCAGATTAGACAGATAGTCTTTGAGCAAATTAACAAGAACATATTCAGAATTAATTATGAGCTGATCTTCATGCTTTATCACTGTAGAAATTGTACAGTATCATGTTCTTTTTGTGAAATGTCCCCTGTTTGGGTGTCTGTATGCCAGCTTTTAGGGATGAAGTGCTGGCCTGGCCCACAATTGCCTTGATGGATTGGGAAATAAAGGCTGTCCTTGCTCAGTTTTGTATGAGGATCCTAGTTTCCTGAAATTATTATGTTGAGAAACTGAACCCAGCTGTTTGCCCTTTGGTGAGAATGATTGAAGCCCCCTTCTGGGTAATACTGGTTTGCTTTGGTTATTTTCCAGTTTGTGCTATCTTTTGTTCTTTGTTTTTATCATGGTATTCTTTTATTCTATCTGTTTTTATCTGTGAACCACCCAGAGTTGCAGAAAATTGGTTGATGTGAAATTTTAATAAATAAATATTCCTTTATAGTAATTATCTCAGAGTGGCAGGTCAGGAAGATCAAGTGAGAGGAAAAACTCCCCTGCTTCTAGATTTTTCCCCTCATACAGATATTCCTGATACGTGCAGAAGTGTCAGATGATCCACAATTCTACAATACCTCATATACTTGTATTTTCTTAATATAAATAACATTAATGTTCCATTATCAACTAGTTCTGAACAAGTCAAGCACATGCATCTCTTTCATTGGAAAAAAGGCAAGAAAGAGCGTACACAGTACAGCCTTCAACAGGGATGTTTCCCTAGCAAAATTAAGCCCTTTTAACTACTTATTTGAAAATCAGAGAACAATGTTAAAGAATTTCAAGCTCTGCCCTCAATACACATCTGGTATCTTACTAGCTTTGTTAAGGAGCAAGACCAAAAAAAAAAATCAAAGACCAATTTTACTATAAAAAGTGCTGCTTTCAGATATAAACATTTTAAATACAGTTTAAAAATATTAAGGAGTTGATATTTACCTTGTTTCCTATCATAATATTTAATGTTCACAGAAATAAAGATGTTACTGCCTGAAAAATTATGGTAACCCTCTATTTTAAAAACAACCTAAACTGCCTACGTATTTACTTATAGGGACATTTCATGGATATTTAATAGGTTCATTCTCTCTTGTTCATGGTTTAAGTATCAGGTCTTTTTTCCACGTGTTGATTTTATTGAATGTAACTAGTTCAAAATTCTGAACTAGTATTATTCTTTTTATTTTCTTCATTCCATTGCCTTAATTATATAACATGGCCAATGAAGAAAATGCTGCCTCTAGTTAGATGACTTTAGTTTAGATCTGCTAGTTAAATTTAGAATTATATGTAGCATTGTAACTGAAGACTTGGTAAATCAGTGACATTTGGTGGGTTTATGGAAAGCCTTGTTGATGTTACTCCTGAAGAATCTTTTCTCAGTCAGTTTAACATACTTCAAAAACCCACTAAGACTTTGCTTAAGACTTCGTAATCTGATTATGTATGCTTCTGTATACTGCCCTCAATTTTGTTCTGTTTAGAAATACTATCTTCCCTTTTAGTTTTACCTTCCAAGGGTATCAAGTGTGGATTTTTGGCATTGAAAATTTCTTTGGCAGTACATTAACAGTGCATTCACAACCCGCCAGGGTCTTTATGTAACTGTGTGGGATTTTGGATCTTTAAAACTACTGTTTACATTAAATAGATGTATTATTTTCTTAGGCCAGACAAATCTGATTTTTTTAATAAAACATGACTATTAAAAACAGATTGCATTGCATTGGGTTTTTTTAAATTGAATAGTAAGGACTAAAAGTGAAATTTTATAAGAACATTAGTCTTGTCATTTAAAATGAAATGGTATGAATCTTGTGTTCACAGTGTTGTGATCTAGATGCAAAAAGTGTGGCCCATTAGCGTCCATTTTGTAAACCTCACAGCAATCCCCAGAGTACGTGGAACCAAAATTGGACCTGTTTGTGGGTTATGGGTTAAAATGGGGGCCTTAAACCTTGCAAATATTTACGGCACCTCTTTCATAGCTGAATCCTCTTTACAGAAGGCCCTGCACATACCCACCAAAAGCTCAGCCTTTGACAAGCCATTTAATGTCTGGGGTAGCTCTTGAGCCACTAGTCATATTAAGGGAGGTATTCAGTTTATCAGTAAAGTATATTAATTATTAAAACAATCTTTTAGCATTTTGTCTAATCAATGTAGCTTAATGTGTTTGAGGGAAATGGAGTAAACTATATTTGCTCTATCACAGTTTTCAGGTTCTGTGTGTGTGTATGAGTGCATGGTTACGCACACACACATATATGGAATTCTGTCAAGGCCTTAGCAGACCCCCTAATTTAGTATGTATTCAGAGCTATATTTTGAAAGCAAAGCAGCTGCATTTTCTGTCAACATGATTTGTCTGGATCTATTTTTAATACCTTGAGTTAAAAATAGTCATATCATTGCTGGTAACTGAACACTAAATAAAACAGTTCTCCTTAAGACCAGCAGAACTGGTAAATGGTTCTACTTCTAACTATGCTTTTTAAGCACCATTATCTAAGCCATGGAGGTTTTTTTCTCTAACATATGTCAAAGTATTTCTGCACACCTGTTCTGACAACCCATAAGTTTCTTGACTCATTGCTTCCTCTGCTGGTAAAATAAATAAATAAATCTCTTCTGAGTGTTGAACCTCTTCATTCTCCCTTAGTATAACACCTACTGGAGCTTATTCATGTCCATTTAAAGTACTGTTTATATATATATGTATGTATGTATGTATGTACGTACGTATGTATATCCCTCCCTCCCTCCCTCCCTCTCTCTCCCTCTCTCTCTCTCTCCCCATCAGTGGGCCTGCTGCTTTCACAGGAGAAATGAGTTCATAGTATCATCATAAAGTAGAATAATATGATCCCAATCAATTTCGCACCCTTAGCCTTTGTATCATTTGAGGGTGGTATTTGGTATCTCCAAGACAGCAATCTAGGTATCTTATATTAACAACACGGACAGTGGTTAAGGGTAATGAGAAGTTTAGTTAAAAACACCTGGACAACAGTGAGTTGAATACTCTTTCAGCTTTAAAAGTATGTTACAATTCAGTCCGTCAGCATGGCCATCATATTACAAATTATGACAATAATAAAATTCAAATTGTTAAGGGGATAATTAGTACCTTAAGTATCCACAAGATTTAAGGCATTATTTTGGCCTTTGAAACTCTCCAAACTTCAAAAAATGAAAGAAAGGCCTGAATATTTGAACTTGCTCCTGTCAGAGAACAATACACCCCTAGCTTATTATTGCTGCCTAATAATAATTACTGTCTGAGGCTTGGGCTTCAGAAATAAGGGACAATTACCTAACCTCAAAGAAGCCATTACAAGCAAAATTGAGATCTTTGTAGCAGATCCTATTATGGAGGTATCCATAAAGTAGTAGAATTTTTGGTCTGAAATAGTGTTATTGTAGGTCTAGATCCTTATTTCCTTTCTCTTTCTTTGTTCTTGATGTTAGTGCTCTGTGTCTAAGACAGTAGAAAGTCCATTTCAAGGGCTGTCTGTTCTAAACCTTGATATCTGAGTTCAGTGAACCAACATCAGCCACATTCAGTAGAGGATATAGAGCTTTGCTGACTGTATCAAGCAGTTTGCAAGTGATTTGAACCCTACATGTGGCTAAAGAGCAAACCTGGATGCTTTCTGAGTGTCTCATTTGTAAAACATTTATGGTAAAAGACTGAGCATATTGGAAAACCTATTGGAACCACATTCCTCTTGAAGTCAAATAACACAGGGTCCTTTTTAAATATGCAGTGCTTTAAGAAGCCTGTGCTCATAAGATTTACTCTATGTTGGCTTTTATACCACTCATATGCATGACATAGCAAATAGAAATTGCATTTTCCACTGCTAATACGTCAGGCAAAATAAGGAAGAGAGTGATATATCATTTAAGTGAGACATTTTGCTGTGCAGTACAGTGTCCAGAAAATGGTTTGGAGAAGGATTCTTGAATTTTCTCTTCCTTTTTTTTTAGGCTGTCGAAAATCTTTGCTCCTACAAAATTTCTGCAAATTTGTACAAGCAATTAAGGCAGATTTGTGAAGACCATATCAAAGCACAGATTCATCAGTTCAGAGAATATCCTTTTTAATAAATATTTCATATAACTAGAAAGCATTTTGGAGCCTTGTTAACCATTTTAGCAATTCTTGTGGATTAAGAAATTTGGCATTTATGGATTCTTTTGGCAACGATAAAGTCCCTTAAATATTTCAGCAGGAGAGAAGTTTATGTTACCTGCCAACTAATCCATTTAATCATTAAACTGAATATAGCACATTCTTACTGTAACTTGCCATGTGTATGTGGATACTCACATTTAAACATTTGGGAGCAGGATATTAAGCTAATAGGTAAACTTCCACTAAGTGGGTATTGATGTAGCATCAACTGTTTTTTAAAATATTCTTAACTGCTTCCTCATGGATTCGTTGGACAGTGTTCTTTTCCTCAAGAAAATAGACAAATGTTGGCAAGACCATTGCAGACAAATGGTAAGTGTTCTTTGCTTTCTAAATGTTATATAAGCTTGGATTCCAAGATGGGTATCATCTGCAGCATTTGAAAACTTTCTCTAGAGGGGAAAGATCAATCTGAGACCCCACGAGGGGGGTTAGATGGCTCCCCAAAGGAAGAGAATTGGGCATTCATGCCAGTGGAAGTACTTCCCACTCATGGACAGTTTACCTAGTCTTTTTGTATTGCTAACCATGGCAAAAAAGGATTCCAGTAATTTGTATTTAGGAACAATTTTGGGGGGTCACATTATGGGAAATAGAAGAATTGGATTCAGGTTTTCCCCCACTGTATCTATCCTTTCTTTCTGTTGAAAGTTAGCCTATAGCAGGGAGCTTCTGGAAGTATTCTTCTGGTAGCAGGAAATGGGAGAATACCTTTCACCCACCTGGAACATTTTTATCTGTGGGGCCATTAAAAAGATCTGTGCCATTGACCATAAAGGTTATAAGAACGAGAATGGTCTCTAAATTCTTTGTGAAATGTTTGACTTTCCACAGTGGCAGTCAAGAAGCATGTATCTAAGTAAGTTCCCTTAAATCGGTGACCTTCCCTTCCAAATTAATATATCTAGATTAAGGCAGGTGAATGGTCTTACATTATATTCATACAATAAATATAGAACTTAAATCTGTCAACATGTGATGATCCAGAATTTTTTTTTCTTACAGATAATGATTAGAAGTATCTTTTTGTTCCTGGATCGAACCTATGTTCTTCAAAATTCAATGCTGCCATCAATTTGGTGAGGGTCAAAAAAGTAATATTGATTTCACACTTCCGAATGCTTTGCCGAGCTATTGATTAGTGGTTTTTCTTCCCTTCTATCCTGATCAAGCGATGGCAAGTTCACAGTGAATAGAGAACCTGTGTAACAAAACTAGAAAATGTGTTCTCTTTCCTATATGTATTTTCCCTCTGCCCAGATTTTCATTAAAATATAGGATTTTTGGTGGTACTTGAAAGCTAGTTAAAGTAAATAGCAAGCTCTTCGGAAATATTGTCACAATGAATGTGAGAGCAGCATGGTGAATAGAATGACACATGGGTCTAACCTGTCATGGCTGGGTTGGCTTACTGGCTTGTCTATGTGACAAACCTTTGTGGTTATAAGCCACAATTTGTAAATCAGCACATTGTGCAAACCCAACCAATTGTTGATTGATATACCAAACCATACCTCACTGAAGTGAGTGAACACAACAACCAACTCCATGTTTATGTTTTTTCTTCCTCCCTTTTCAGGGATATGGGGCTCGAATTGTTTAGGACTCATATAATTAGCGATCAGAAAGTCCAGAACAAAACCATTGATGGAATTCTTCTCTTGATCGAGAGAGAAAGAAATGGAGAGGCTATTGACAGGAGTCTGCTCCGCAGCCTTCTAAGCATGCTTTCAGATTTACAAGTAAGAGTCCATTGTGGTAAATTTGTCTAAAAATTAATAAGACTGAGCTGTTAGAGCATTCTGAAGGAAATAATTCACTTCTGTTCCCTTCAGATTTATCAAGATTCTTTTGAGCATAGATTCTTGGAAGAAACAAATCGTCTATATGCTGCAGAAGGACAGAGGCTTATGCAAGAAAGAGAGGTATTTTATTAATAACTCTGAAGCACCGTGAGCCATTCTAATTCCACTTTTATGAGCAGATGTCCTTCCACATCTCCAGTTATTGCAACAGTCAGAAATATTGCCTGCTTACCCACCCCAACAAAGAAACCTCCATTACTTTAATTTTATGACTTTCTCCATAACTTATCCAATCTTCCAGGTTCCAGAATATCTCCATCATGTCAATAAACGCTTGGAGGAAGAGGCAGACAGGATTATAACTTACCTGGATCAAAGCACTCAGTAAGTGTTTGGCCTCTCTTGACCTGCTTTGCTAAACCTGGCAGGAGTGAGTTTCTACTTCAGCCATTGCTTTTTGCTAGTGTGGGATTATGTGCGTTGTTCTTGCCTCTCCTTGGCTTTCCCTCTGGAATCTCTAAGTTCCTGGAGGCAGAACCCTGTTTGTTTTGCTTCTCTTCCCCACACTAGAGCACCCTTTATATCAATGGTCTTAATAACCAAGGGGTCCTTTGTATACCTTCTAACTGGAGACGTGTGTGAAATTGACTTTTTGTTGTCAATTTAGTTGTAAGGAATCAACAGATCACTTTCTGAGCCTAAAGAAAGCTAATAATGGCATATCCATTCAGCGGCTGTTTGTTTTAGGTCATTTTCTGCCTACATAAAAGGCGAGAAAGAGAACACAAAATAGCTTTTTTAAAAAAAAATAGGGTAGACCACAGTAATGTTGTTGGAGAATGTTGATGCATAAACTGTGACAATTCCTGGTGTTCAGATTAGATTAATAATTTAAATGGTTAAAGAGTGAGCAAAAGGATTGTAATTCTAAACGCTTTTTCCTGTAGGAAACCACTAATTGCCACTGTAGAAAAACAGTTGCTAGGTGAACATTTAACAGCCATTCTACAGAAAGGTAATCCATCTATCTTTATAGAAATCTTTGTTTACTGCTTCTTCAGGGCTTTCAGTTCCCTAAGCTGAATGGAAATGGCCCAATCAGGTGCTGATTTTTTTTGTCAAGCCCCTCCCCTTTGGTTCCGCATCCCATGACAGTGTACTCTGGAGGGGACCCACAGGTCACATTCTCCTTATGGGAAGAAAGGAACCACAGGAATGCTGTCGGTTGTATTTTGCCACACAGACTCATGCTAAGAATAGCCGAGGGAAACATGGATGCAGTGGTTCAAGAGGACAGTGCGGGTGGATCAGAGTTAACTGCCAGCACTGCTGTTTTAAAGCACAATGTTTGCCAAGCCTTAATGATGTATCTTACCAGGGCAGATAAAATGCGGAAAGCTTGCAGGTGACAGGCACGTTACTTTTCCCTTTTAAACTTTGTTTTGTGCTCCATAAAACAAAAGATTGCGTCACAGGGAAGGCTGCTTCTCCAAGGCGGGGATTACCCTCAGGACCTTTATTGGCAGCCCCAGATCCTCTCTGGAATGCAGCTGCTGAAAATAAGTGGGAGGTGGGAAGCATACAACAATGGTATTCTAAATCCTAAAATAGATTCAACAGATTAAAAAAAAACCTCTCATAATTGTCCCAAACTTTAAGAAAATATGGAAAATCCTGATCCGTCTCCTGCAATGACATGGCCCTACCCACGTTTTGCCATCACCCTGTCCCCTGCTTTTCCCCAGACCCAAAAGTTAAGCGTGGCCCTTTCCTAAAGAACTACTAAAGTAGGTTTATCAGACAGCCTCTAGCCAGCTCTTGGTGGAATCACACTCATTATTACAGATGGGAGCTCTGCCAGTGGAACTCCTGAGGAAATTCAGAAATGTTGACAATAAAGTGGGTGTTTTTTAAAAAAAAATCCTTCTTAACATTGTAGAATATTAAAAACCTTGAATATGCTCCATCCGACTGTGCAATGTTAATATTTTGTTTAAATATTATTCTTTAAATATGCTTCCTCCGAGAAACTCCTGGAGGCATAAATAGTTCTTTCCCCCTCACAATATTATTTTGTCCATTTTATCCTATTTTAATGGCTGACTGAACCATAACTGCAATCACTTTTTTTTTTAATGTCTCTGGAATTTTCATAGTGCATAATTCAGTGTTTTAATTGACAAATGTTTTGATTCCAAAATGGCTTTGGAACAAATGATTTCTTGTTCTCAGGATTCAAACTTAAGCTTGAAATGTTTTGTCTCAATCAGCCTGCATTAACTTAGAATCATGTTATCTTAATTTTGCAGGTTTAAACCATCTGCTGGATGAAAATCGAATTCAGGATTTGTCACTACTCTATCAGTTGTTCAGTAGGGTCAAAAATGGCGTGCAGGCTCTCTTGCAGCAGTGGATTGAATACATAAAGGTATTTGTGCCTGGCTAACTTGCTTAAATTGCAGGAATAAATTTTAAATCTGTTAAAATAAAGAAAAATACTTGCATGGTAATAAATTTAGAGGTCAAAGCAAAAGATGCCTCTTGCATATATATTTTGTATCTCACACAGACACAGACATGCATAAATCATGGAATTAAGGAGTTTGTTGGTCTTTTGAAATAATCTAGCTTGTACGCATTCCTCCAAGGAATTTGAAACTTGAGTGGGAAACTTTCATCTTCGTTGAATCAATTGGGTTTTCCTCGCAATTTCCTTGCTTATATTTCAGAAAATCTTGTTGTATTTTGAAAGTGTTTCTACCCAGTACAAAATAGTTCTCTAAACAACATGATGATGCTAGCATCCAAATAGAAATGGGTATTGTTACTTTGTTTTCTTTCTAATTTCCTTTGAATCCTTGGTGGGGGTTTTTTTCAAGCTGTTATTGATTATATTAGGAGTAATATCATTTAATGTTTTTGGTGTTCCTTTAGGCATTTGGTAGCACCATTGTCATTAATCCAGAAAAAGACAAAACCATGGTCCAAGAGCTGCTAGATTTTAAGGATAAAGTAGATCACATCATCGACATCTGTTTTTTGAAAAATGAGAAGTTTGTCAATGCCATGAAAGAAGCTTTTGAAACGTTCATCAACAAAAGACCCAATAAACCAGCTGAACTCATAGGTACGGCATTCCTTCAGGAGTTCCCAATTAGGATGATAAAATGGATTGTAGCTTAAAATCCCTAAGGGTGTGTTCAGGGTAGGGAATGCCCCAGCTTCAGTATTCTGCATCTTGATACCTTTTTCTTTAAAACATGACATAAAAAATTGTGCCCAAATAAGGGGTTTCACTCAACATTTGTGGGGGAAGGCAAAGGCTTTTGTGAGCACTGAAGTGATTTGAAATGGGCAGGGGTGTGTCGTGTGCAAAAGTGGAGACCAGTTTGCTCTGGTTTCGGGGAGAAGAAGAAATTGGAGGTGATGTTTAGTCAATCAAAACGTTTTGAGCACTGCAGTTTTCATATGTTTCCACCCAAACTGCCAGGAAACTGATGCTGTTCAGTAGTTAGAGTTGGAGAGAACTTCAGGAGCAGGAAAGAAAGTTATTTCAGGCTGCAGGTTGCATTCCCTGCCCCCCCCCCCAAAAAACCTAAGCCTAAGAGAGTTAGTGTTAATCAGGGTAAATGATTGTCAGTTAGATGAACAAAAGACTGTTCCTTGGCCAAGATCAGGTTCCCTACCTCTGATCTAGAATAAATGTTTGGATCCAACATTCAAATTTGCACCATTGTTTTTGTTTTTTTCCTCCTTCCTCCCCAGCTAAATATGTGGACTCAAAACTTCGTGCAGGCAACAAAGAAGCTACTGATGAGGAGCTTGAAAAAATGCTGGATAAAATAATGATCATATTTAGATTCATCTATGGTAAGAGCTGGACATTTCTTTACATTAATCAGCCCCAGTTAAGCCCACCCTTCTGCATTTCTCAGAGCAAATTGGATTGGGGGGAATGCAAATTGGCTTTCCATGGTGATGCCCAGAAAAAGAGCCAAAACCAACAAGTTGCCGATGCCCGGAGTTCTAAGAGATGGTAGCTTCAGACCATGAGTCAAAACCCACCCTCTGTTTTCTACAGGAAAAGATGTCTTTGAGGCCTTTTACAAAAAAGATCTAGCAAAGCGACTATTAGTAGGCAAAAGTGCATCTGTAGATGCTGAAAAATCCATGCTGTCAAAACTCAAACATGGTAAGGTTTTTTATGCACCTTCTACAAATGTTGTGAGCGCCTGTCTGTGGATGCCACTTGTAACTGAGGAAGTCCCAGTTTACCCATTTTGACATGCAGTCTTTTCTGATATAAAGTTAAACCCCGGGTAAGAAGCAAAACTGATGAAGCATTTCTGCTTGCAAAATGGGACTAGGGAATCATAAACTCTGTTTTCTTTTCTGTGGGATTCATGTCTGATCAATTGGGCTGGGAATCCCAGTCAGGGCATGCTAATCATTCCACATTACATCTTAGACTGAGCCTTCTGGAACTGTTGTAGAGCCTTAAATCAGGTTCCTGTGCCATTAGTTTTCCTAGCCTGTAACCTACACATGGAACGGGTGAAATGCCTACGAATGTATTGCGTTCTGTTCATAAATCTATTTACAGCCTTTGCCCACCGTACCTCGTAATGCAATAAATATCTCAGTCTTGTAAAACAAGGACAGGAAACCTTTTAGCGCCTGGTGTGAGGATCAGGCTGGGCAGGAACAATTATGCAAAAGGGGCAGAGCCTCTTCTGTGTTGTTTGTTCCCCCCTTGGGAGCTTCGTTGTTTATAGTTGCATTTTAGGGGTTACCCTACAGTTTTTGAATGTTTTCTGCCTCAGAATAGAGGAAACTCTGCCACTGACTTGCAACCATAATGTTAAAGGATGCTCAAACCATCTGAAGCCACCGGTAGACAGCTTGCCCAACTCTGTTTTAGGATGCTAACAGGGTGCATGCAACACCCAGCTACTCTTCTGAAGCTGATCTGATAGGTATAAACTCTTGCAATTGGGTCCACCATAATGTAAGTGCCATCAGAATTATGCGAACAGCACCACCATAATCTTCATTAGTTCCAAAGCAGAACACTGAAGGTATCAGGTTGCCCAAGGACACTTGAAAGCATGTCATTAAGCAGGATGTCAGGGGTCAAGGACGAAATGCTTTTTAATGGTGCTTTTAATATAACTACTCTCTTACAGAATGTGGTGCTGCTTTCACCAGCAAACTTGAAGGAATGTTTAAAGACATGGAGCTCTCTAAAGATATTATGATACAATTTAAGCAAGTAAGGGAACAAAGTCTGTCATCACTGTGTGTCTCCCTTTTGCAAGTATCTCCTCTCTACAGCTCTTTCTTTCTCTTCTCTTATGAGTCTTCATTCTTTCGTAATACCCAGCATATTTTGCTATGGAGTTACTATGGGGCAGTCATGGATAAAAGAGCTGGGTCACTGATTCATTATGTAACTCTCTGGGTGACCTTGCCAGTTTCCCAGGTACCCTTAGAACTGCTGTGAGAATGAAGTGAGGAAAATCCAAAGAATTCCTTTCTAGGTGGTTTGGAGAAAATAACACAAATGTATTTCTGGTTCTGAATAGTCATTCTTTATGTCTTTGATTCTGCTTGTAGTATATGCAAAATCAGAATGTACCTGGTAACATTGAACTCACCGTGAATATCTTGACTATGGGTTACTGGCCTACGTATGTGCCTATGGAGGTCCACCTGCCATCAGAGGTAAGACAACTGCATGATCATTTTGAAATGAAAGAATTCCATAGTTGTTCAAGGATCAGATAAGGATAGTAATGCCTTAGTTAATAATTAAAATATATTCACTTAATCATTAGAAACTTCAAGAAATATTTGGAGTTTGTGAAAAAACTAGGGAACTTCTGTCAACAGTTTATTTCCTTGGTGTCTGAATTGTGATCTCCTGGTTCACTTTTAATAAGCCAGAATCTGAAGCCGACATTTCAGGTTTAAAATGTGATTTGTCCAAAGGGCACCTGTGGACAGAATTTCCCTGGTTTGTGCAGTACTGCTCAAGCAACACTAACTGGTCCAGGACGTTGTCTTCTCCCTGATTAAAGCTACCGAATTGCATAGCTTGTTGAGACTACAAAATCAGCCCACAAAATGTGAAGAGAACTGAAGCTTCTCCTTTTGTTGTTGTTCAGTCGTTAAGTCATGTCCGACTCTTCGTGACCCCATGAACCGTATCGCGCCAGGCCTTCCTGTCCTTCACTCCCTCCCGGAGTTTGCTCAGTTTCATGCTCATATTTCATATATATATCATATATATATCATATATATAT